TAAGGGCATATTTGGGGACCCTAATATATGGCATAAACAGACTATCAAGTATAACCCAAAATGCACAAACAGCAGAAAATAAACTAGATGAATGGGACCTTCTAAAAATTAAATTTTTATGTGCTTCCAAGGACTTCCCCAAAGGAGTCAAAAGAGAACTTACAGATTGGAAAAAAATATTTGGTGATGATATATGTGACAAGGGACTTATGTCTAGAATTTATAGAAAACTCCAATACCTCAATAACAAAAAGACAAACAATCCAATTAAAAAATGGGCAGAAGACATGAATAGATACTTCACCAAGGAGGATATTCAAGCGACCAACAAACATATGCAGAAATGGCTCACGATCATTAGCCATTAGAGAGATGCTAATCAAAACAACGAGATACCATATTGCTCCAGCACTAGTAGCAAAGTTCAACAAGACACAAAATAATAAATGCTGGCAAGGATGTGGAGAGATTGAGACTCTCACACACTGCTGATGGGACTGTAAAATGGTACAACCACTGTGGAAAGAGTATGATGATTCCTTCAAAACTTGGAATTAGAAGTACCATTTGATCCAGCCATTCCATCACTAGGTATATATTCTAAAGAAGTGAGAGCCATGACAAGACAGACATATGCACACTCATGTTCATTGCAGCACTATTTACAATAACCAAAAGATGGAAACAAACTAGGTGTCCATCAACTGAGGAATGGATAACCAAACTTTGGTACATACACACAATGGAATACTATCCAACCCTAAAGAATAACCTAGAATCTGCAAAACACCACATAATGTGGATGAACTTGGAGGACATCATGCTGAGTGAAATAAGTCAATCACAGAAGGACAAATATTGTATTCGTCCATTATTGTAAAAATCAAGGAAAGATTTATCTATGGAAGGAAATTTTCTTTGTTGGTTACCAGGGGTGGGAGGGTAGGGTAGGGAATACTGTTAGATAGATAGAGATAAGCATTGATTTAGGTGAAGAGAAGGGCAATGTGCCAAATGTGAGTGATCAACATGGTGGCACTGAGGAAGAGGAAGACATAGAGAGGTATAATGGGAGGTGCAGACAACAAAGATGAACCCTTTTGCACATACAGTTCTGCGTTGTCAGTGAAGGCAAACATGGGTATACAGGTGAATAGATGGGTGGACAGGCTGAACTATTAGGTGTATCTATGCAGCAGGGAGTATACCCAAGACCATGTATAGGGTTGGCAGACAATGGTCCTAGAAGTGTATTTGTATGATCAGAATTCTCAGGTGTATAGTAGAGCTGACAAGAGGCAAGGTTGTAGTCATTCATTGGTTATAGCCAGCTACCCAGAGGGACCGAGCAGTTGAACCTGTGGGCTCAGGACCATAGTCACAGGGGACATCAAGCTCAATTGGCATAACATACTGCACAAAACATTGTTCCACCTCATATTTTTGCGAGTAGCAGCTGGGATCTTAAAAGCTTGCAAGCAGCCATCTAGATGCAATGATGGGTCTCTCCTCATCCAGAGCAAAGAAGAGTGAAGAAAAACAAAGATTCATGGAAACAGTCCTAGTGACTGGTACACCATGCGATCCTCAACCTGCACAACTATGGGATCAGAAGAACTAAATGGTGCCCACCTACCCCTGTCAACCACTCAGAGGGGGATCTATGTAGGAGATCCTGGATGGAGAGGGAGAACAATGTGGAACAAAACTCAAAATCATTTAGAAAAAAAAAAAAAAAGGTGGGAGGACCAGGTTTGCCAGTCTGATAGAGCCTGGTGGAACCACAGAGACTATGGCCCCTAGCTGCCCTTCAGGTCTGGAATTGAACCCACATCTGTGGCTTCCAGCCAAACAAAAGACAGGCATATGAGTTGAACATTTACCTGAGGTAGATACACTCCTTGGGGAGAACAATCATAGGAGAAAGAAGGGCTGTTTATGTACAGGGAGACAGTTCAGGGGGCAGGAGTACATGGAGGGATGGACAGAGGGAAGAGGTGACAGTTGGTAGGAAGTGGGAGGGGAACTGCTGCATTGTACTGAATTGTGGTCAATGTAATGAGACAAAGTGTATGTGAACTGCTGTATGGAAAGTGAATTCACTCTATAAATTTTCACCCAAATCATAATTAAAAAAAAAAAATCAAACAAATAATAAAAAAATTAACTTAAAAAAAGAGGGGGGGCGGGGAGTAAGTGTCTGACAGCCATTTGGAAGATCAAACCATAGGTATGAAAGGACTAGAAAAATCAGAGAGGTACCTGAGGCTGGATCCTGGAGTAAATGGTGTTGCTTTCTCTTGGGGGATTCTGCCTCTGCTCCTGCACAAGAAACAGTAAAGGGAGCATACAGTAACATGAAGTCTGTCTAGATTTTGAATGAGTTGGGAAAGACAGCACAAAGGAAAGAAGCCTGGGAGGGAGGTGGCATGGCCTCAGAGATCTCTCTCATTGGTTAACCCCAGGAAAGACAGTTTTTTTTTAAAAAAAAAAAAAAAAAGCAGACACACAGTGGAGCAGTGTCAAGAGTGAGTATGTCCCAGACATGACGAGATTTCATCGACCATCCTCCCAAGAGGCTCCTGCCACTTGCTTCACTTTGGTAACTTAGAAGCCCTTCCTTTCATTGCCTGAGTTTTCAACTAAGTCTGCCACATTAGATATTGAGTATGGCTATGCTCTGGGCCTTACTTTACCAGTGATGAGTGTAATACAACTTAGAGGATTTGAATGTTGTAAAGACTGAGCACATTTAAGCCCCTATCTGGATCTAATCTTGGGATCCAGGTTGCCCTTGGCCACAGACCAGCCCCTCAAGCAGCTACAGTGATGAATGGAGCCCTAGGCCGGAGGCCAAAGGCAGGGAGCACAGTGGCCCTTTCCCTTGCCCCACAGGGGATTACAGGTGGAATTATTTGATGCTGCTTGCCCCCTGAGCAAATGCTGCCAGTTTGAGCTCTGGTAAGGAGCCACTGGAGTCCAGCAGCACTCATTCAACAAAGTGTGAGCTCAACTCCAACTGAAGCAGGAGGAAGCCAAGCAGAACAGAGCAATCTCAGCTGTCCCTGGAGGCTGAGAGTCACAGGCATCTGGCCAAACACAGGAGTTTGTTGCTTTTTCCTCCTGCCCAGACCAGTGGAAAGTGTCCACAGAGAGCGTCTGAGCTGAGCCAAAGTGAGACCACATGAGCTTGATTTTAGCCCTTCCAACTAGACCCTGGAGAGAGTAGGGAGAAGCCAGGGAGGAATGGAATCAGTCAGGGAAGAACTCCAAGTCAGAAGTAGGGTAACAAGCCTGAATCTCTAAAAGGTTTCCTTTGCTCTTAATAATATTTTCCCCTATTTTTGTTTTGTTTTACCTAATCTAAAGTCTTGTTAATAGGAGGTAGGGTAGTGTTTTTAGTGAACACTCAAGCTTCAATTTCTGTAGATAGATGGATCTGTTGTCAGGAATTCATAGAGCACAACTCTGCCCACACCATAATATCCTCAGTGTTGGGGCAAAGAAACAGATGAGGGCAATATCCTGCTGAAACCTACAGCTCAGGGAAGCTGCTTGTCCACTATATAAGGCCTCATCTGCCAGAGGTGACTTTTGGTGCAATATCTCCTGAGGTCAAGCACTAGGAATGGTGGAAAATGACAATTCCTCCCCCTCCTTCACCTGGTAGGCCCTGCCTGTCAATTATGAGGAGGAAGAAGATAAACAGGTCAGAGGTTTTATGCTAGGCCTGTCACCACATCCTGCCCTACAGAGCAGTTAGAGGTGGGGGCACCTTGCAGACCCTCTGTGGTTTCCTACTCTTCCTGTGATGCTGTGCATTAGTTAATATGGTCCTTTAGCCATAGTCTTGCAAATGTCCCCAAATGACTGGGTAGAACTGGCTTGTGGCCCACCAAAGGAATTGGACAGCTTGCTAATAATACAATAAGGTGCATGGCACGCTTATGTGGGTGGGACCATGCAAATAAGGTGTATGGAACCCTGGTGAGGGGATTGGACAGTTTTGCCATCCCTCTAGTCTTAAAAGAACCAATTTCAAAGCAGAGGGGAGATTTCACTACCACCAAGAAAGGAGAGACAGGAGTGGAATGCGTACTTTGGGCCTGAGGTCCCTGAGCCAGGAACCTCCTACACCCAGGAGATGGAGAGCTGTAACACTGGAGACAGTGAGAGGCAGGAGCAGAGGTATGATGGCAGCAGATGGCAGCTGATGTAGCAAAACCAAGAGACCAGTAGCAGACAGCGCAGTGAGTTTCCCAGCCCATGGACCAAGAAAACTGAATGCCTTTGGGCAGGAGGTTTGGTCAGAATTGGTTTAAAAAAAATAATAAGATTGGAGAGAGGAGGCAAGTCTGACCTGCACCTCATAGAATCAGCCTTGGGCTGTTGATATTGATTCTCATTCCCCATTGTGAAGTTAGAGGAGGTCAGATGCCACCATACCATGTTTATACTTCCACTCCCCTGCATGGCAGACAGAGTTGCCCACTGCCTGCAGAGAGCTGAAAAAGAGATTCCTGGAGTAGCCTGTGCTAGCTGAACTGCCTTTGTGTTAACCTGGTTATTCTTTCTTCTTCCTAAAAGGCAGAGAATGTAGCCCCTGGGTCAGCTACAAAGCTGCTATGCTTTGGCTGGTCACACTGGCATCTTCCCCAGCCTGGGCAAGGATCAAGAGGCTCTCAAGAAGGCTCTGGATACAAGAATGTGCCCAGCTGGCAAGATGGGGCAGATGCAGGGACGCCAGCAGCAGCATTCTGCCTCCACTATTGGTTTCTGTTGTGCCCCATCCCTTTTCAGCAGTTACATTCTGCAACAAGATACCCCATCTGCCCACCTTGTCATCTCCTCTGCTCCTTTTCTTTTCCTCTTTCCTCCATCGCCAAAACTAGGAGGCAGATGGAAGAAGATAGCTGGGGAAGATTAAGAACCACATGAGGAGGACAATTGTCCAGTTCTCTTTGTCCTCCTGCTTTGAATGCATCCACTCAAAAGCATTTTCCAGACAAGTTGAGAGAGACCCTAGCCCCTAGGGTGCCATACTTGATTTCTCCTGCTTTGCAGATTGTTGATCTCTTCATAAATTGTCAGACATTCCTCTGTGATGTAACCTATGTGAGGAAGGAAGCAAAGAACACAACTGCAGAGATCTCCAGTGAGAATTCTGTCCAGGTTTCTACTTCTGGCAGGTTCTACTTCCACCCCAAATGGCCAAGACCTTGAGATATGTTCTGAGAAGGAGGCAAAAAAAAAAAAAAAAAACCACTCACTGCCATCAAGTCAATTCCGACTCATAGCAACCCCCATTGGGTTTCCAAGGTGGTAAATCTTCACAGAAGTAGATTGCCCCATCTTTCTTCCATGGAGTGGCTGGTGGGTTTGAACCTTCTGGTCGGCAGTCAAATGCCTTGAAAGGGCCAAGCCACTGCTGTATCCCTCCCCACCACTGCCACCATGCACACACATATATCCCAATACTCCTGAGGAAAAGTAGGTGCTGCACTCCCAGGCACCTCCCACTAGCCATAAGACCTCCCACTAGCCACAGGGCCAAGCCACTTGATACCAATGCCTCAGGCAACAGTACCTCCAGGGAAACCTTCCACTTACGTGGTTGCTTCATTTTCCTCCTCCACACACAAAAGCAGGTGAGGGTGCCAAGGAATAGTATGACTAGCAGAATCACAATGATCACCATAAGGTGCAGAAATTCGAATCCTAAGAAACACAAAAGGCCAGAGAACTGAGAGTTCAGCCCTCCCTCTGCCCCTTCCTACTTGTCTGCTGCATAGGTGATCTCAAAACCCACACTCGTTTCTGGTGTAGCTGCTTCCACATGCCCTATGAATTCACCATAAAGGTTGTCTCTCTCTGTTCATTTGGATGTCCTCCCCTGGAGTGAGGCCTAGAGCTTGAATGTTAATACCTGACAGACATGCCAATTTCAGATTCTACTCCATAAACTGTGTGTCCTTGAGCAATTTACTTAACCTCTGTGAGCCTCACTTTTCTCATCCTGTAAAAAAGGGGTAATGTTGTCTACCTATGGGGGTTAATTACAGGAGTCTTCTGGTTAGTAGTCAAATGCCTTAGGCACTAAACCACCAGAGCTCCTATTACATGAACTAACCTACGTAAAACCTCTGCTGTATAGCTATTCATTGATTTTTAGCTCAACACATTTCTTCTGTACCTACTGAGTGCCAGGATTCTCTCCCATTTCATCTTCCTGCTACTCCTAACTTCACTGCTCTTCCTTATTTGAACTTCTGCATCTAACAATGTGTCGTGCATGTAGCCTGATACATAGTCCAAACCAACAAGAAGGGAAGGGAATAGGATTAAATGTTCCAGATGCTGGTTGACTAGGTTCTTTACAAACATTATCTAATTTAATCTTAATAACAATCCTGTGAAGGACTTATTATTATCATCCCTATCTTACCCAAGAGAAAAAAATGAGGCTCAGAGGAGTTAATGAATTTGCCTGAAAGCACAAAGCTAGTAATGGCAAAGCCTATTCTTGACCCCAAAAGCCAGTGTCCTTGTCACTACACATTGTACCTCAATCTTATTCACTTCCTTTTTGCCCACAAGTACTTAGTTTTGTTGTCCAGATTTTAGTACAAGTTTCTTAAGGATAAGGACTGCATTTGGTTTTTTCCCTGTAATGCCCATGCTGATGGCCCATTAGATCTTTGTTTATCTGATAAAAAGTGATGCAAACTTAACTCAGGGCAACTCTCAGGATGAACATAAGCATAAACCAAGAAATCACTGCCTAGGTTACTGTCGTGCAGTGTAGTTTTCTCTTGGGGAACTATATAGCTTTGGGCAAATTATCACTCAGAAGGAGGAAGCAGGTTTCCCTCAGTGTCTCAGAAGAATAAAATAATAGTTAGGAGCCATTGCAGGACTGTGGCTCAACAACAACGGAAAACTTATATCTCCCAGAAAGAGATTCTTCATGGGGATAAAGCTCTTCCCAGACTAGGACAGGCCTTACTTGACCAGGACTGTGTGCCTAAAGGTCAAGATTCCCTGAGAAAAGGGCTATAAGGCACTGGGAGATGCAGCCAAGGATCTCATACCAGGTCTCTCTTGCATACAAGAGGCCCAATACCTTGAGCCCCTGTGATAGCCCAAAGTGGCCTTCTTACTCTGATGGGCACTCAGACATCCCTGGGTGAGGTTGAAGGTATCGCTTTTCCAGCTGACAAGGTTGCTGACGTTGCAGGTGTAAGTGTATGAGCTGTTGGCATGGATCTGCTCCACCAGATGGGTGAGGTTCCTTGATGTCTGGATCAGCTTGCTCCCTCTGTACCAAGCATAGGTCACATTCTCACCCTTGGAGACCAAGCAGGACAGAGCTATTTGGCACATTCCACTGTCCAGGGTCTTCCTCTGCTCCTGCAAGCGGGGCTTTTCAACGTGATCTACAAGCAGAGATTCTGATCAGAAAGGTGCAGAAAATACAAGCCCTGGTGGAGTCAGGGACAGGACAAGCTGACTCACCATATACAGAAACTTGGAACTTCATTTTGCATAATATCCCAGACTCTTCAGTGACCTCCAGGAAGTAGAAGCCACTGTCCTGCTGCTGAGATGCATTGATGGAAAGAGCCAAGTCTTTGCTCATAAAAATGAGTCGATTGTTGAAATACTTCTTAACCCAAGATTCATAGTCAATGCTGTCATTATTCTTCCAAGACAGTATCACATAACATTTTGGATCTGAGGACAACTGCACCTTCCATTTGACAGAGTGTACCTTTGGTGGTATATTGGATGGACGTAACCAGAGAGCTCTTCCTGAGAGGCCAATCACATGGTGAGTAGTAAAACCTAGGCATTCCAGGAAAGAGAACCTAGGCTGAGGATGGCAAGAAAGGTATCAGTCCTGAGCAATTTGAGCAGTTGGGGATAACTTTGCCTATGCCAAGGCCAGAGTATGGAGAGTATGTGTCTGAGAAGCCCAGAGCCTAAGAGAACCTCAATACATACTTCCTTTATCTGCTTCTGTTTCTCCTCTAAGCTCTGTGCCTCTAGTCTGAAGGAGCCCACAGGCCAATACTAGTAGCTAAAATCTCTTGAGAACTTACTATGTGACAGGGAAGTTTTTTAAGAATTGATATGTTTTAGTTATTTAACTTCACAGTGACACCTATGGGGAGTCTTATCCCCATCTTGTTGTGTTGTGTTGTTATGTGCTGTTGAGTCGGCCCCGACTCAAGCGACCCCTCCTTGGGTTGCCGAGGCATTATCACCATGGAAGTAGATTGCCCAACCTTCCTTCCAAGGAGTGGCTGGTGGGTTTGAACCGCCAGCCTTCTGGTTAGCAGTCAAGTGCCTTAGGCACTATGCTACCAGTTACTATAAGCAACTGGGTCAAGTTACAAGATGAGTTTAAAACACAGTCACTTAGGCTTTAGAGCATGAACTCAGAACCATCATGTCACTAAACACCAGATTACATATTGGTATGATTCCTTCCCAGTGACACTGAGGCAACCACTAGTGACCAGTGGTGGCTGCTGAAGAAACTGAATGGCCAGACTCAGTAAGATTAACATTCCACAATGAATTCATGGTTCACTCCTCTGTCTTCCCATAGAGCTGAATTCATAATCCTCTCTTATAGCACTTGGCACATTGGATTGTAATCATTACTCACAGATGGTTGCCAATCTTGTAGTCACTGGAAAGCGTCCACAAGCATTGCTACCTAGAAAAGAATTAGAAATATCTCAAGCAAGAAAAGGCATTTGATAAAATCCATCATTCTTTCTTGATGAAAATCCTCAACAATATTGGAATAGAAATGAAGTTCCTCAATATGATTAAGAGCATATATGAAAAATCAATAGTCAACATTACACTTAACAGAGAAAGATTGAAAGCTTTCCTTTTGATGTCAGGAATAAGACAAGATTGCCCACTCTTGCCACCTCTATTCAATATTGTATTTGAAGTCTTAGCCAGGGTAATAAGACAAGTAAAAGAGATAAAAGTTATCTAAATCAGAAAAAAAGAAGTAAAATTATCTCTATTTGTGGATGATATGATCCTATATATAGAAAATCTCAAAGAATCCACAAGAAAGCTAATGGAGGAATTTAGCAAAGTTGCAGGGTACAAGGTCAATAAACAAAAATCAGTTAGGTTTCTATACACCAGCAATGAGAAATCTGAAAGGGAAATTAGGGACACAATTCCATTTACAATAGCATCTAAAAGAATAAACTACCTAGGAATAAATCTAACCAGGATGTGAAGGACTTCTACAGTGAAAATTATAAAACACTGCATAAAGAGATTAAAGAAGACATAAACAAATGGAAAGATGTTCTGTACTCATGGATTGGAAGACAATATTTTAAAGAATATTCTATTCCATTATTCTAATGGAATAGAAAAAAGAATCCAGAAATAAACCCACACATCTGTGGTAAATGGATTTTTGAGAAAGGTGCTGTATTAAAAATTTCTTGTCACAGACAAGTAAGTGCATCCATAACAACATCCATTTGTTGAAGCATCTCAATGGGAGTTCTGTCAATTCCTAGAGCCTTGTTTTTCACCAATTCCTTTAGTGCAGCTTGGACTTTTTACTTCAATAACATTGGTTCTTGATCAAATTCCACCTCCTGAAATAGTTAAATGACAACCAATTATTTTTTGTACAGTGACTCTGTCTATTCCTTCACTCTTCTTTTGATGCTTCTTACATCATTCAATATTTTGCCCATTGTTGTTGTTGTTAGGTACCATCAAGTTGTCTCTGACTCATAGTGACCATATGCACAGCAGAACAAAACACTGCCAGGTTCTGAACCAGCCTCATAAAACTTGCTATACCTGAGCTCATTGTTGCAGTCACTGTTGTCAGTCCATCTCATTGAGGGCCATCACCTTCCACACTGACCCTTCACTTAACTAAGCCTGATACAAGAAATGGTTCCTCTGACAACATAACCAAAGTAGGTGAGACCTAGTCTGGCCATTCTCACTTCCAAGGAGTATTCTGGCTGCACTTATTCCAGGACAGATTTGTTAGTTCTTTTAGCTGTCCATGGTACTCTAAGCATTCTTCTCCAACACCACAACTCAAAAGCATCAACTCATCTTTGGTCTTCCTTATTCATTGTCCAGCTCTCACACACATATGAGATGATTGAAAATACCATGGCTTGGGTTAGGTGCACTGTGGTGATTAAATTTGTGTGTCAAGTTGGCTGAACCTGGTTGAGTGGTTGGGCAGCTGAATGTAGTCATTCCCCATAGTGATTTTGGTAATTAACTCCATGGTGGAATTTATTGGAGCAGCTGAGTAGTTGCTTTGGGTATGTGGTCTGCTTCCTATATATAAGAAACAGCTTTGGGAATGGTCTCTAGCTTACGGCACGCTTGAAACCTGAATGTAGTCGAGTTGTTCAGAAGCCTGCCAAGTTCTGCCAATCCTGGGAATTTTAATGGACTTGAATGAATGGCCTGCCACATGGTTTGGTAACATCGGGACTGTGCTTTTTTACTTGTCAGCCTTTAGCTTGTCAGCCTCAGCAGCCAGCAGCTGAGTGAAGACAAGCCTCTAGCTGCAGTGGGGTGGGTGCAGGAGGCAGAGCTGAAGGCCAAGGTTGAGGGGCTTTTACCCAGCCCCTAGAGCCTGGTACTTTGAACTCGGACTTAAAGCCTTCAAATTGTAAGAATAAACTACTGTTTGTTAAAGCCACCCCATTTGTGGCATATTCCTGTCAGAGTGGTACTAGGTAACCCAAAACTGCACCTTAGTCTTCAAGAAGACATCTTTGCTCTTCAGCACTTGAAAGAGGTCAATGCCTATGTCTGAAGATTTGCCCAATGCTATATAGATCGTCTGATATCTTGACTGCTGGTTCTATTGGCGCTGATTGAAGAACCAAGTGATTTGAAGCCCTTGACAACTTCAATCTTTTCTCCATTTATCGTGAAGCTGTTTATTGGACCAGTTGTGAGGATTTTTGTTTTCTTTATATTGAGCTATAATCCATACTGCAGACTGCAGTCTTTAATCTTCATCAGTAAGTCCTTCAAGTCATCCTCACTTTCAGCAAGTAAAGTTGAGTCATCTGCATATCACAAGTTGTTAATTTGTCTTTCTCCAATCCTGATGCCACATTCTTCTTCATATAATCCAGGTTCTCAGATTATTTGCTCAGCACACAAGTTGAATAAGTATGGTGAAAGGTTACAACCTTGATGCCTTCTTGATTTTGAACCATGCAGTGTCCTGTTGTTCTGTTTGAACAACAGCCTCCTGATCTATGTACAGGTTCCTCGTGGGTACAATCAGGTGTTCTGGAATTTCCATTCTTCTCAATGTTGTCCATAATTTGTTATGATCTACACAATCAAGTGTTTTTGCATAGTCAATAAAATATAAGTAAACATCTTTCTGGTATTCTTTGCTATCAGCTAAGAATACCATGTCAGATGGCTGACATCAGCAATGATATCCCTCATTCCTGTCCTTTTCTGAATCCATCTTGCATTTCTGGAAGTTCTCTGTCAATATACTGCTGCAACTGTTTTTGAATGATCTTCAGTTAGATTTACTTGCATGTGATATTAATGATGTTGTTTGATAATTTCCACATTTTATGGGATCACTTTTCTTTGGAATGAGTACAAATATGGATCTCTTCCAGTCAGTTGGCTAGGTAGCTATCTTCCAAATCTCTTTGCATAGCCAAGTGAGTGCCTCCAGCACATCATCCATTTGTTCAAACATCTCAATGGGTATTCTATCCATTCCTGGAGCCTTGTTTTTTTGCCAATTCTTTCCGTGCAGCTTCAACTTCTTCCTGAAGTTCTTGATACCATTGGTTCTTGATCATATGCCACCTCCTGAAATGGATGAACATAGATCAATTCATTTTGGTACAATGACGCTGTGTACTCCTTTCATCTTCTTTTGATGTTTCCTGCATCATTCAATATATTGCCCATAAAATCTTCAATATTGCAACTTGAGGCTTAAACTTTTACTTCAGTTCTTTCACTTGGAGAAATGCTGAGCGTGTTCTTCCCTTTTGGTTTTCTAACCCCAGGTCTTTGTTTATTTCATTATACCAGTTGGTTGTCTTCTCAAGCTGCTCTTTGAAATTTTCTGTTCAGCTCTTTTATCTTATCATATCTTGCATTTACTTTAGCTACTCCCCACTCAAGGACAAGTTTCAGAGTCTCCTCTGACATCCATTTGGGTCTTTTCTTCCTTTTCAGCCTTTTGAATGATCTCTTGCTTTCTTCATGGATGGTGTTCTTGATGTCATCCCACAGTTCTTCTGGTTTTCAGTCACTGGTGTTCAATGAATCAAATCTATTCTTTAAATGATCTCTAAATTCAGGTGGGATATAATCAAGGTCATATTTTGGCTTTTGTGAACTTATTTTAATTGCCTTCATCTTCAACTTGAACTTGCATATGAGAAATTGATGGTCTGATCCACAGTCAACTCCTAGACTTGTTTTGACTGAAGATATTGAGCTTCTCCCTTGCCAATTGTCACAGATGTAATTGATCTGATTCTTCTGTATTTCATCTGGCGTGGTCCATGTGTTTAGCTGCCATTTGTGTTATTGGAAATAGGTATTTGCAATAAATAAGTTGTTGGTCTTGCAAAATTCTGTCATGTGATCTCCAGTGTCATGTCTATCACCAAGGCCATATTTTTCAACTACCTGTGATTCTTCTTTGTGTCCAACTTTTACATTCCAATCACCAGTAATAATCAATACATCTTGATTGCATGTTTGGTCAATTTCAGATTGCAGAAGTTGGTGAAAATCTTCAATTTCCTTATCTTTGGTTTTAGTGCTTGGTGTGTACATTTGAATAATAGTAGCATTGACTGGTCTTCCTTGTAGGCATATGGATAGTATTCTATCACTGACAGCATTGTACTTCAGGATATATCTCGAAACAATCAATCTTTGTGACGATGAATGCCATGCCATTCCTCTTCAATGTTTTATTCCCAGAATAGCAGATTGTATGATTATCGGACTCAAAATGGCCAAAATCAGTCCATTTCAGCTCACTAAAACCTATGATAGCAATCTTTATGTGTTCATTTCATTTTTGTCAACTTCCAATATTTCTAAATTCGTACTTTGTACATTCCACATTCTGAACACTTAATTGTGCTCCTGAGGAATCTGTATGTAGACCAGGAGGTTGTTGTTTGAGCAAAACAAGGGGCTACTGCACGATTTAAAGTCAGGAAGGAAGTACATCAGGGTTGTACCCTTTTACCATACTTATTCAATCTGTATGCTGAGAAAATAATCTAAGAAGCTGGACTATATGAAGAATAACACAGCATCAGGGTTGAAAGAATACTCACTGATAACCTGTGATACAGTGCAGGACTGGGCAGACCAGAATAACATATATTGGCACAGCTGGCCTGATAGAAAGAATGAATGGCTTATTGAAGAAGCAATTGAGACGAGAAACTCAGCCATTCACAGGATGAACTAAGAGGCTCCCGGATGCAATTAGGGCCTTAAGTGAATTTGAGCACAAAGGCACTCAAGTACACATACACTATTGACTCAGGAACCAGCCACCACCCTACTAATCCAGGTGCAAGAACCCTCTGAAGATACAGGGCTACCCCAGACAGGAGCACAGGGTAACTTGCTTTTGCCCTTGCCACAAGACTTAGTCACTGGAGACACTATAGT